CACTTCTCATGTGCACGTTATGTAATGGCCCTTAAGAACTCACTGTTTCCACATCACACATAATCTTGGATCTCAGAGGTGATAGTGCAATTGCCACAAAACAAGATATGCAGCTTTGAAGTGGAACACATTTGCATAGACAAAATCAATGTCCTCAAAAGATCATCTGTTTTACTCGTAAATAATGCAAGATACATTTTGAATCACCACAGACTCCTCCAATATTACCATTACCTATCTCATCCCAGATCACCATGTTAGTCCAACAAAGTGAAAAACAAACTTGATCAAAAAGTTGGGCAGTTCAGAGATTGAGGTCACATGCAATTTTTATAGATGGACACTCGCATAGAGACAAAACTGGAGCATAGGTTGCAAGCGCAGCAGCATCATCCATGACATGGGAAACATCACCTGTACCAATCCTGCTTTTAACAAACAGAAGGCAGAGGCTCTGGCAGGGAAATCAGCTCAGTATGGCAGAATAGAAGCATTTAGGCCTGGCTTGAGAACAGGGCCAGAAGACCTATCACAATATATACTGACTCTGATTTATGTGCATTCTACAGTGCATTTCACTTGCCAATCTGGGTATTGCATGACAATTTCAACACAACAAAAAATTTGAGACCTACACATTTGGAATTATGGCAGAAGGTGGCAGACAAAACAAGAATGTAACGTCACAAAACTGCATTGTACAAGTCAAGCACATACTACGAGCCAGAGACTTCGTGGCAAAGGGCAATGAGTTTGCTGATATAGTTGCTAAAAAATTGACAGCTGGGTATGACAGGATAGGTACGGCTCATGCGTCAGTATTATTGAAGACATCCAGAGGGAACAGAGGCACCAGTGGAAGAAAGAGAAGAGAACAGTCCACACATATTGCAAGAAAATCCCTCACAGTATTATGTGACAGCAAGGAAAACTGCAGGGCCATTAAAAATAGTGGAAGAGTATTCTATGATCCATTTGGTAAACCGTGTCGTGGACTACTAAAAAAAAACAACAACAGAACATTCCAAATTAAGCATGATGAAACACACATAAAGTCTCAAAACATTTTACAAACTAAGACGGACATGTTTCCATCCTTTATGCTACCAACCATTACCAGCATCTATGTGACCATGTGACATATGTCAAGGGCTCTCTAAGGCAATGGCTGAGAAGGCATGCAAATGAGCATTAACCCAGTGCCTCCATGGCCCATGGCAGAAATCGAAAAAGATTTACATCAACATGAACTGCAGATAAGAAAGCGGATAGGGGTGTAGAGATACTGCTCACAATTGATTGACCCACCACACGATTGGCCTAGCTTTTTCCTTTGCAAAAGCAAATACAGAATCAGTATCCCAAAGTATTCTTGAACAGAGATCCTTTCCAAGTACGTCCCGGCGAGAGTTATCAGATCTGATAACGCTCTCATTTTAAGAACCAGACAATGACTCAACAATGAGAGAGCTGAATATAAAACACGCATTTTGGAGCAGTGTGGCACCCGCAATCACAAGTGGTTATTGAAAGGTCACCAGACACTGAAAAACAGGTTTGCACACATGTGTAAGTCTGAAAAATGAATTGGAAACAGGCACTGCCTTAAAGCCTTGATGGCAATAAAGGAGAACCAAGCAGTCCCAATCTTTATGGCTTCACCATTCCACTGAATGTTATGGGAAGAAACATCCCAGTAACTTTTCTCGTTCACTGGAGCTCCCCACCTCCAGCAGCCACTGAAGATGCTGCCTAGGAACTTATATGTAAACATTGGCACTAACAGTGAAGTTTCTGCAAGATAACATTGTTTCACGTTGACCAGAAACACTTAGTGGAGGCTACATTTATGTGAAAAACCAGAAACATGTTTTAGGGATCAAAGCTAACTTGGAAAAGGCCTATTTATAATCTCCAAACTTATCGAGTTATACTTTGAAAATTTTACTTAGATGACTCACAAATACAGAGTCATCCTTTGTCTAGGCCCCACTAGTGCACCAGAAAGATCCCTGCTTGATGTAATGAAAGATATCACTACATCATCAGAAAAGGAGGCCGACAGGGGACAGAGAGGGAAGTGTCTGACTCTATTAGTTAGAACATGGGGGAGTTCTAGGGAGTGCGGAGCAACCCTATAATGCACCTATAGAGTCCCTCCAGATAGCCCTGTGATGCAAGTGTCTGATGGCATAGGGACTAGTGATGACAATAGTATGAGAGACCTTCTGGAACTGTTGGGAGTTGAGGATTTTGGACTTTGGGGCTCTGGACTTCCAGACTTTGGAGATTGGGACGGTTGAGGTTCTGGCCCCTGAGGTTCAGGATTCTGGATATCAGGATTTTGACATTAGAGATGGTGGAGGACAGGTTTTGAGGTCCTGGACATTGGAGATTGGGTTGTTGAAGGTCAGGGCGATGAGGTTCAGGATGTTGAATATCAGGATATTGCCATTTTTAGATTTTGGGATTCAGGGGTTTGAAATTATGGTCGATGGACTTCAGGTTATTGAAGAATTTGGCAATTTCTCTGACTTTATGGATTGGGCTGATCAAGGGACTGTGCATTTAACTGACGTGGTTTGGATCCGACATAAGTGATAATGGTGGGGGGTGACAAATTGGCCTATAAGGGATGTTTAATTTATCACAGGATTGTGATAAAACAGGGGGAAGATTGATTATTGATTATTTTTTATTGATTGATTATTAATATTATTTTTATAATTATTGATTGATTATATATAAAAAAAAAAAAAAAAAAATATATATATATATTCATGATCCAGAATCAACTATTTAGATGAGCAATTGTGCAAATCAAAGCTGAAAACACTAATCTGGTATGCATGGGATAGACTTTAAGATTGAGGTGTTCACCATGCAGGTACTCTCAACATGATAGGACCATGGACACTCTTAGGGTTGAGGACACGAGAGTGGGTGAGTATGGTGGTAGGTATAGGGATTATAGCTGGATTTTTTTATGTGGGCCTGGGAAACAGAGTTAGGCCAGGGGTATGCAAAACCAACAACTGTCTATGGTAAGGAGAAAACTCTTGGTGTCAATTCCTCAATTTCTGATTATTCAGACATTTTACCCGGCAAACAGATGAAAGAACGCAAAGTTCAACCTACAAAGGTGACAGGGATAAAAATAAGACCAAAAAGGGAATTGGATAAACTGGGAGCATGTGCAAAAAAGCGACAATACCTATTTGGGGTGCAATTGTGTTTGGCAAAGGGAGAACATATGGCATTCCAGGTACCTTTTATAGCATTAGTAAACAAAGGGAAAAAAGTGGGAGCAGAAAATTCAGATTATGAATGGTACATGACAAATGACATGAGAGATAAATCATGGGGGACAATGGTGGCATATACTGGATTAGATTGGACACCAACACCAACTACAGAGTTTGCAAGACACCATTCTAAAATAATTTCCATGACAAAGGGGATTATGCAAGGAAGTGTACCATGTCTTACAATTACAGTGGACTTGAGAGGTGAGTCATTGGACCCAAGAGACAGATCAGGGAAGAAACCTCTATGGTTTTGTTGGGGATTTCTGGTAGTATTCCGTGCATACGATCCTTATGTAACAGAGTGATAACAGCCGCTGTGGAAGGGAAGGTGGCAGAAAGACAACTGCTACTAACCCAGGACCTACAGTGGGAACCAGAAGAATTGATGACCATAGCCTAAGCCATAAAGGACAATCATCAGAAGAACGGGTGAGTATGGCCTGTGATATTGTCAGAATATCACCAGAGGAGTTGTGAGTATGCTTTATGATATTATCAAAATATTTTAATCAAAAATGTATAACTGCTTGCATGTAAATAACGCACATAACCTTGCAAAATTGTAAGAGGGACTTGGGAAAATCGGGGATGCAATAAAAAATTATAAAAATTAAAATAAAAAAATTACATAATTCAAATTGATGCACGACACAAACATATTCTTTCTCCACAGCTCTTGCAACTATTGTTTTTGTTACACAGACTAGACACCGCAGCACACCCACATATAGATTGTTTTATAGGATCACTTCAATGTATGTAGTTTAGGGTGAGTTGGATGCTCAGTCCGCCCAGAGGCCTTTGGGGCGGGTCTGAAGTAAGGGCTGAGTGGAAGACCACCACATTTTTCATAATGTCACATGGGGTGGTTTAGGAGTTCACAGATCGTCGTGAAGACTGGGATTAGACTGAGTATAGGATGTAATGCTGGATCAACTGATGAAGATGGGCCATCTGAGACGAGAGTGATGGATGTCCGAAGAGTTCCTCTCCGGCCAACAGGGGGACTGTTGGAATATTAACTCCTGCACCAGTTAAAACTAAAATCAGTTTAGTATTGTTTCTGTTGCCAAATTAGCACTTGTTTGTGTAAATCTCAAAGAGCAGTGAGTTCAAGGTTAGTCTGTATGAAAAGTGAGAAAAACAACTGTTGTTATCAGAGCAGGTGCAGGCTTTGGCAGCTGGCCAGAAGGAGTCATAGAGTCCACGAATCTGTGATGTCAGTGACCTTGGATGTACAGTATAAAAGATGTACAGGAGGAGGCACGGGGACTTTTTCTTTTTCTTCTGACCAGGAGGGTGAAAGACGTCCCCGGGGCCACTCCTTATCTAAACGCGAAGCGAGACCTGTTCGCGGACCGTTATCTTGTAATATTGCTTGCAAAATCTTCAATATAACCTTTTGAAATCAGGTTTGGTATCTGTCATTTCTATTACTGTTTTAACATTGGTTTTTGTCTCTTGTTGAACTAAAAGGACCTGCAGAACGAAGGGCTGTGTTTGCGGCCTCTCTGCAGCTTCTGGGGCTGGGGAATTCTGACAGAATTACAGCAGTGTTCACTGGACTTGGTGACTGCAAAATGCAGTTTAAGTTCCTCCCACTGGTCCAAAATGCGTGAAACCGCTGGTTCAATGGAGAGCCAACGTGTGGCACACACCTTAGTGATCTGTAAGGGTTTCTCCCCACAGTTGATGGTCTCATATATGGCCTTGTAGGCCTCCCTGCGCTTTGGAGAGACTGAAAACCTCCCAAGTCTCCCGTACCAAGTACTCTACACTACGGGGGATTGTGTCATTGGAAGCATGACTTACAGCTAGCTGCAGAGAGTGACACACACAGCGAATAAGGACAAGATCTTTGAGGCCATACTCCTCCTTCAGCACTTTATGATCCCCATTGTTAATCCCTGTCATAACAGAGGCGTTGTCAGTCCCTATCCCCAGGAGTTTCTCTTTTTTAAGACTACACTTCTCCAGAAAAGCCACAACAGCACGGGCGATAGATCTGGCACCTCCTCCCTCTAGCTCAACAAGCCCCAGAAATGTTGAGACAATTGTGTGCTTGGTGTCACTAAAGTACCTTATCACAACCCCCAGGTACTTAGAGACACTAACATCTGTGGACTCATCGAGGAGGAGGCTGAAACGCTGGTCACCCACATCTGTGACCAACTTTTTCAGAAAGTATGATGCTAGAACACCATTAATCATCTGTGTGCACTTTGTCCTGTGCATTTTGAAATGAGTCGCAGCAGTGGAGTCTGAAAAAGCAATTTTACATGCTTCCCCAATATGGTCACATGCCAGCAAGGAACAGTGTTCAGCAATAGCTAATGCCATGGTGGCTTTAGCCTTTTGTGCAGAGTCTGTTTTTTTAATAATTAATGGCAGCTTGCTCTGGGTGGAGCTGTTATAAGGCTTTGCCTTTTGAGTATGTTTTTGTGTTGCCATGTGTTTTTTAATATCACAAAGTTTGGCGTAGAAATCGGCCTTACAGTACATGCAGTATGCCCGTGTATTGTCACCAATAAACGGCTTCAACCAGCCTTTAAATTCAGGGTTTGATTCCCACTCCTTTCTGTACTTTTGACTGAAGAGTTTAAACTGAGCCATGCTGAGCTAGCTAGCAAGATCTTATGTCACAGAGAGGTAGGCTACACACACAGTGGACGAGGTGAATAAGTGACTGAGCTGCTGAGGTTGTGTGAGTCAAATGCAGTGATTTATTTGTGTGACAGCGTCACAGCGAAGAAACGTTTACATTTAAATCGCGCTCTGCAAGCCAGCGGCGGCTTTTGCGCAAGCGCATTTCATTTGCAGTCCGGACGCCGAGTGGTGAGGGTTTCCTCTCTCTCTCTCTGCTCCGCCCATAGACTGTAGCTGGGACTGCTGCGCAAGGCTACTGTGAGACTGGCCGCCTGTAAGTGCTTTGGGGCGGGGGAGGGGCTCACGTTGAGGACAGTAACTGCAGAACAATACGTGCTTCACGCCAGAGTCTCCAAAACACCAGATAAGTCTCCAATAACACCAGAAAAAGTTGCTAGATGTGTCGCTAGTCGCGATAGGGGTCTGAAAAGTCGCTAAATCTAGCGACAAAGTCGCTAAGTTGGCAACACTGGTTCCCGCATATTTTTTTCCAAGACTTGTAGGTATTAAATAAACAGAAAGACAATAAACAGAATCATGATAGCCCAAGTTGATTATATTACGTTTTTAGCCAAAAAATCATTCTGAGTGTTTTTTTTTTGTGGGTATTCTAGCGGATTTTGTGTTGGAAAATCTTGCTGGGATTTGGCAACCTATGGGCGCCGTGTGCTTCGATGTGAGTGGTTGAAAGCAGACTTCATTCAAGATAACGGACAAGTGGTCTATCCAATCACATACAAGGATTTTTTTTTACAAGGCCCTGCCTTCTGAAATCCAACCACTATGGCTCAGTACCAGACTCATGTGTGAAGTGCAGCGAACTACATGGGTCTCGCGAGAGTCAGGCTAATCCAAAATGGCTGCGTGTGGTCCCGCCCTCAAGAAAATTGTGAAAAAACGCATCTGCGCATGCGTCAGCTGGCGAGAGCTCCATTCATTTGAACGAGAGACTTGAAAAATTCACAGCAAGTAAACTGCAAGTGGTCCAAAAAAATTCACCCCCTCAGCATTGACACACATGTGGAACGGAGCTTTGGGCCAAGAGCCAGCTTTTGGACCATCCTGTAAAGACGTTTTTGAGAGGTCTGCCAATGTTATATGTTAGCATTGGCTAATTCTACTTCTGGGTCCACCCCCATCGGCCCGGGGTGGTATTGCAAGCATGTCAGCGCACGTCATTTTGGCCACTTTTGAGCAGAAACCCGTCCCCACTGGCTAAAACGCATCTGTGCATGCGTCAGCCGGCACAAGCCATTCATTTAGACCCGGGACCCGCAACCACTGTATTGAACACACAGTAGCAGAATTTCACCTGTCAGCTGTTCTCATTCAAAAACAAGAAAGAAACCTGCATGCTGTCTTTCTTGAATGGCTTTACACATGTAACTACATTTGACCATGCAAGTAAGGCAGTGTAGGATCTTGTTTTTTAATGCACGGAACACCGTCCAGAGGCTCATACATTTTGAATTAAATAATAAGCAGAGCATTTATTTGAAGAATCTCCCTTTGTCAATTACATCACATGTACAGTTATATGTCTATAATCAAACATACGGTACCTTACCTATGGGTCGTAGTTTTCCCATGGTCGGTGCGGTGTCTGTCTTGCATGTGCTTTGTATACAGTAATTTTCAAAGTATTTATTCTTTGTTCCTTTTAAATAACAGAATAGAAAGTTTAATCTTCATTTCCTCTACTTCTGATAATTCAACAGAGGTGAAAGTGTTATAATAGCAGAGTTCAAGTATTTTTTATACACATAACAAATACAAAATCTGTAATATTGCTTCACTTAACCTTGCACTCAAAGTTGTACAAGATACATCTTTTTAGATTTAGGTTATGTTTTTTAAATCACGAGCAGGAGCCTGTGTGCTACAAACCTTTCTGTCCATGTCGTGCTGAATAATAGTAACTTATATAACTTATTGCAAATAATTAATTTAGATCCATCATTTCACATCAGATTTAACTTTAGCTCTAGGAAGCGTCAGACAGTATTTTACATCCGAATGACAGGTGTGAAGCTAACAGTACGTGCAGGGTTGATGCAGACTGAGGCTGTTCTGAAGTAGTTCCAGAACTATTTTCAAACCAAAGCTAACAACAGACCGTCGCCCAAGCCGCCCGAGCGCGTAGTAGAGTCAAGACTGCCTTCAAACGCGTAATACTCAATAAAATCTTAATATAAACTAGACAAAATAAAATAGACAAAACTTACCACAGAGGAAGATACAGAAAGCGTGTAGAAAGTGCCCACCAAATGTTAGCCGCAAGTGCTAAAGCTAACAGCGGTAACAAGGCCAAGTTCAACAGAAAGGTGGAGGTGTCCGACTCAGGATAATAGGCACCAGAAAGTGTCCGACTCAGGGTGTCCTCCCGTTATACTGCGAGAACATGTAAGTATACTGGAGTATTGGAGGTGTTTAGTTAGTTAAGTATTTGAGTATTCTGAAATGTGCCCACTGTGGGACGAATAAAAGATTATCTTATCTTATCTTACTGTATGCCCTACAGTATACTACAGTGGAGGTTAACAGTATACTGAGGACAGTGTTGGCTATATGAGTTGTTGTGTGTGATTGTAATGTGTTCATCAGGATTGTGGGAGAGGATGACGGTGGCAACCTGTTCACTCCGCAGCAGTATGAAGAATACAAGAGAAGAGTGGTCCCCATGCGCATGCAGAATCGCCTCTATGTGAGCTTCGGGGCCCCTGGGGGCATCGACTGCAAAGCCATTGGCCCCGAGAGCCCCTGCTTCTGCACGCACAGGTGCATATTTAGCTCATGCTTGACATAATGGACTCACACTCAAACAAATGTCAAATCGGCAGCTTTTTATTATCCAAAAAGCATTGTGTGGAAGACACCTTAATTTTCCTGGATGTACCTTCAGTAGGTTAGAGTCTGATGCACTGGAGACAGTTTGTCAAAGTGGGCTGTGGCACGATACAGTCCCTTGAGACATTGTTTGCTATGCCTTTGAAGATGATCCATTATCACCTCATTCAGTAAAGGGCAATTCAGGGGCCCCATTAAGATATCACTATTATGTGGAGTGCAGGATTTGTTTTCATTTCGTTGCCATTTAATTGAAATTGAGTGTAAGCTACTTCAATTAAGAATGCAACCAAAGAAAACTGTATTTGATGTACAACAATATTTACAGAAGAAAGGGAAAGGTGAATAATATATCCAATGGTATCTTTGTGAAAAGGGTGTTGATATTTTGCATCTATAGCTATCGTTTGTTTAACCTTATATAATATGGGATGTACTTAGAGGACATTTTTATTTCATTTTTTTCCATTATACTGTAGTTATCTGTAGATTTAATTATTGCTTGGATTGAACCAAATCTGGACTAACGCTAAATAAGGCCAAGTATCATGGGCCTTAATGTGGGCAGTATTTAGTTATTATGAAGTTTAAAATGCCATCGTAGCATGAAGTTGAAAACCTTCATTGTGTATCGATTCCCAGTCATTGAAATAGGGCGAGACGGTTTGAAGTTTGCGGATTGTAAAAAGGTCCGAGGGCCACATAGAAACGTGAATCAGGCTGTATGTGGCCCCTGGACCGCATTTTCTCCAAATGTCTGGCCAAACACTCTGCAGGAGACCAGCAATGGGCAAACGAGCCTAATTTCTTCTTTGCTCATTCCGACCATTATCTGAGTGTATTATCCAGCCGCGGCCTCTCAGGGACAAGCTGGAGTGGACTACAACCTGTCTGAGTGGATCCTGGACTACCTCATAGACACCACAGCCTGTGAGAGCTAGGGACTGCATGTCTGAGGTCCTGACCTACAGTGTGGGGCCCAACCTTGCGCCTTTCCTCTTCATCCTCTACACTGCAGGCTTCAGACGGTTGTGTCCTAAAGAAGTTCTCTGACGACTCTGCCATCATCAGACTCATCACTGAGGACGACAAATCAGAGTACAGAGGACTAACACAGGACTTTGCAGACGTCAGCGAAACCACCTCCTCATCAACAGAAAACGAAGGGAATGAACCACCTCCTTATCAACACAGAGAGAAGATGGTGATGAATATCCACAGACGTCACTCTGCCTCTCAAGCCCCAAGACACATCCAGGGAAGAGACGTTGAGAGAGTAGACTATTTAGTTGCGGCGAGTTTGAGTGCAAAGTCAATGATGAGGTACGTCAGTGCGAGCATTCGCATGTAAGTTGCGGCATCGCGATATTCGTGTTGATTTATGACCCACAATGGCTGAAGGAGGAGAAGAAATTTACTTGGTTGCAGGTTTATTATCAAAACCATTTTCAAGAAGGACTTTTCAAAAAAGCTGGACATCGTTGAAAGTTTGGGTAACTCAGAGGCTGGAAAGGTAACCCCAGCCATAAACTGCTGGGGGAAGTGGAACCCGTTATGCCTGTCGCCTCTGTCTATTGAAGATTCGGAAGACGTCTATATATTTGGATTTCTGGTAGTTGGGATTCTCCTTTTTGGGCTCGGAGCTTTCCAGTTTTACCGCAAAGTGGGAGTCATGGCAGCTCATAAGATTTATGAAAAGCTGTCCAACGAAATTGAAGAGAGGTACAAGGAGCTGACCCGGGTGTTGGTTGAGAGCGCTGTGGGAGCACAACGGAGAGTGTTACAGGTCGAACATTTGCTTAAAGATCTTGCAATGCGATCTTTGGATGGACATAAGACTCTTGAAATGAAGTTGAACGAGATTGTGTGCCAGAGGTAAACTCTCTGACCCCACACGGAAAGGCCCTGTGTACGGCAGTTACCGAGGGTACCAGCAATTCAGATCAATTGGATTTATAGTATATTTGCCGATGTTTTGATCATATAAATTGATCATATAAATTGCTCATATAAATTGTCCCTTTCAAGGCAAATGTGTGTTTTCTCCTGTGTCTGTGGCTTCCTGCTTGTCGCACAGCGCCGCAAGATGGCGCCGTGGCATGCTCTGCCAAAGCAATTTCCAAGTGGTGACTTTTGTTACTTACGTGGCAATAAAAATGATTCTGATTCTGAAACGTATTATTGCTGTGACCCGTTTGTAGATGGGCTATCTCCATCCATCCATCTTCTTCCCTTTAATCCATTTCTGGGTCAGGGGGGTGGCAGTCAGAGATGCCACCCAAGTCTCATAGCACCAGCCCCTCACTGACCCTCTGCAGGTGGTGAGTCCACAGGAGGACGGCTGCTCTCTGAGTGTGAGCATAGCCTTGATCTTTCATTGGGGGCTTTGGGCAAAGTGGGGTTAAGTGTCTTGCCCAAGGACACAACGACAGCAGTCATCAGTGGGAGTCGGTGGAGAAGGTGTCAAGGTGGGAATTGAACCCACGACCTTCTGGCCTGAAGGCCAATGCTCTACCAACTGAGCTACTGTCGCCCTCGGGCTATCTCTATTTTCCTAAATAATGTTTTAATGAGGTTATTAGTGATGCTTTAAGTGTGTTGCAGCTGTAGCTGCAATAAAAAAAGACTCCAGTCCGGGCTGAATTATTGTGTGTGGATCAATAATATAAAGGTTAATCACGGCTCTCATTATGACGTGCTGATTAAGGAGCACTAGCTCTGTCTGTTACCTACAGAAAATTCATGGTGGATTGTGTTTTCATTGTTCTTTACAAACTTTGGATGCAGGAAGACTGTATTGTTGCCATGGTAAGACTCAGGCACTGTAGACGGTTTAGTGATGTTTAGTGATGTGCTGATCTTTGATGATGCTCCAAACATCTTATTGACAGATCACACATCAGATTGCACGGTCTTTTTGACTTATCAGATTACACTTTTGGATATACTTGGTGTATAAATAGCCGTAAAGTAGTTTTTGAGAGGTGAATTAATTCAGACGAGCACTACTGAAGGCCTAGGTGTGAAATGCATGGCCGGCCATTGCCTGAATTAAACCAGGGCTGACAATGGGGGACACTGAGTTGACATGTGAGTCTCCTGTGGCTGTATAAAAAGTGCTGCTAATGTGTTTTCCGATACAGAAGTCCTGGTTATTAACTCGTTAGCATCAAAGACCGCCCATCACTTCCGCCCTGCGTTTTTCCCCAACGCAAGGCAGCCAGACGGATGGACTAAACTCATGCTGCTGAAATTTAGTTTAAGCGTATCCATGCCTCCATTAACACCCGTCCATGCATCTGCAGTGGGATTGTGGCTTTACAAGTACCTGGGTGTTCACCTGAATCACAAATTGGACTGGACCCTCTTCAAGAAGGGCCAGAGCTGGCTTTACCTGCTGAGGAGGCTCAGGGGGACTGTGGTTCCCAAAATTACCTATCTAATATCAGAGAACTGGACCAAACTTAATCTAGTAATTGATACTTTTATTGATAATAGCTTTAATTTGGGGAATCAGTGAATACATCACACCTGATTGCATATGTACAACATCACACTATTCAGTAAATGATTCAGTAAGTAAATGAGTCATTGATCGGTTAAAGATGTAAGTCCAACTGAGATCTGAATAAAATTATATTCATTTCTGAAATTAAATCAGCACAAACATCACTTTCCAGACAGAGATGATTTTGTAGATTTCATGCAATATAATCAATACAGTCAGATATGTATAAAATGTGCAAATTGTCAGGAATAACAACACACTGATTAAAAAAAAGACATGGCTAAAGTAACAAGGCATGTAACAAGTAGATAGTTGGGCTGAGGGCATGTGTGGGAGCACAGCCTAGTGACTCAATGTATTAAATTCTTAGTTTAGATTGTAAGTTTTAATAAGCCAACAGCTGTGTAATACAGAGAAGATCATAGAACCAGGATGTCACGTTGGTTGGTGGCGGTCCTCGTTATGTGGTGATGGCCCTGGTCATGGCCATGGTCATGGATGAAGGCTCATCAACACTGGGTCATGGGACTGGACCATGCACTTCTTCTGATACAGCGGCCCAACAGCTGCTCCACATTGAAGTTGGAGGTTTCAGAAAGAGCTGTGAAAGCTGCTGGAGCTCCTTAGCAGGGCACAAAGTTATTATTGACAACTTTTACCTGCCTTTGTTCTTATCTTCGTTCTTCACAATTAAGAGTCAATGGCCCTCATTTATGAAACATGGGATATATGAACGTGTGAGATCGCCCAGATCTGAGCGTACGCACCGCGCTGAAAACTAGCGTATATATGATATTTAGGGTGTATTCAGACCTGAAAAGTCCTTTGCTCCGCTTGCTTGATCCGAATCAAAAGCGGACCAAACTTTTTTCTTTTGCTCCGGTTCGTATTCAGACTGTCCTTTTTGCAAGTGAACTTTTTTATATAAACATATTGACATGTGTGACGATCGGCGCTCCTATTGGACGGCATGAGCTCACGGAGGATAGACGCGGAACCGGAGGAAAACATTGAGATCGTATGTGCAGCATGTCTGCTCTGCCTGTGTTTGGTCTTTTTAGAGTAAAACCACCTTCAACATCAGCTCATATGACGCAGGCGAAACACGTTGTTTTAAATATTGGAACAGCGTCGGAGAATGCGTGAGGAGAAAGCCGAAGGAGACGGAGCGTCTGTGCGCTCCGTGCCCTGTCCCACACATGGATCTATTATAATAATGGCCCTGTTCAGCATTGTGGATAAACCATGGATCTATAATAACCACGGGACAAACAGACGCTGAGGATCAGGTATGAACCAAAGAACACAATTCACTACATGATGCGGAATATTGCTCTTTGAGACGTGAGTCAAACAGTGTCAGGCTTTTAATAATGCAAATGATTTGAAGATGCTGCCATTAACATCAATGTATACTGTGAACAGTTTTAACTCCATAAGCCTGTTGCAGCGTCTCCTCACAGCTCCAGGTCTGCACACCTGCATAGTTAGCATCATAGTTAGCATCATAGTTAGCCGCTGCATGGCTAATTCCTCAGTTTCTGTCTGCGGTGCTTGTTAAGCCCAAAAAATGCGCACGTATCTTGGAGTTGTGTCGGATCGACACCAGATGTATTCAGACCTGATTCGACTTGGACCAGAATTCGTTTGGAAGCGGACCGAAACCACCTCAAAAAGTGGGTCTCGGTTCGGTTCTTTGGTCCGGACCAGGATTCGTTTGTGTGTATTCAGACCTGCATAAAAGCTTCGGATCAGAGTTCCAAACGAATCCTGGTCCGTTTAAAGTGGAGCAAATGTGCAGGTCTGAATACACCCTTAGAAACCGCCTGTTTCACGCCCTGTTTTTACGACAGGTCAGTATGGAAGTCGGCCAGAGGAAGACTGTTTGGAAGCCTCAAAAGGCCGGTGCCACGCGCTCCTGAGTTTATTCATGTTTGTTTAAAAAGAGGTACACTCTATATTATATATACACGTGTGTAGACCCCCTGCAGCACTCATCCGTCTTCAACTTTAAAAGTAAATAAATGAATAAATATATAATGAATGAATGAATGAATATTAATATCTTGGCCTCAGCGGTGGCTCTCATCATTAACCAGGTGAAGCATCTGCAGCATCTTCTTGTGAATGCAATGGAGCGATCTCTGTGATAGAGATAGGATGCGTATGAGTTTGGAAAGTGTCCGTGATTTTACAGAGGAACTTTGGATCCAAAATGTCTGAAAGACGCGCACCAAATCAAAGTTTTGCTGTAGAACGTGTCGTGGCACCCGCTGCGCACTGTTCAAAGAACTACTGCCCTTGAGCCCGTTCCCACCGATAAGCGCGTTGTATCCTTTCTATAAACTGCTATATGCAGAGTATAGGGCAGTGGCTGAGACAGTTTTGAGTGCGCAAGACAATCGGTGCGTTTATGGGGCTTTATGGTTTCTCACCCGTCATCTGTACTTCTTAGCAGGTTTTCCCGACGTTTCATTCTTCATCGAAAGAACTTCTTTAGGGAATGAAATCTCAGACCGCGCGTTGGAGATTTATAACCTATGGGTGTGGTTAGCCACACCCTAGTCGTGTTGCTAACTCATGGGAGAAGGGAGAAGAATTGGTTTGAGAGAGGGTTGAAAGAATTGAAAGAATTGGTTTGAGAGAGTGAAAGAACCCATTTTTGTGAGAAAACACAAACATTGAGGGGGGTTAAGTTTTGTCCTGCCTTGACACCCTAAAAGCAACGCCCTAACCTTTTGATAAGGTCAGTGACGTGCTAATGATTTAGGAGTGGTGGGACCTGCACTCCATTCGAGCAAACTCAGCAGACAATAGGTCTGTGACATGCTAGTGAGTTAGGATCGTTAGCCCCAGCAGGGTCGTTAGACCTGCTCCCTTCCGCATCAAACACACCTTAGTTTGTTAATGAGTTAGCATCAGGATTAGGGTGTGGCTAACTAGTCTGAGATTTCCTTCCCTGAAAAATTCTTTCAATGAAGAACAAAACATCGGGAAAACCTGCTAAGAAATACAGATGATGGGTGAGAAACCTTCCTTTGCTTTGACTAAACCCTGTGCGACTGAGAGCTTACACAAACTTATGGGGCTTTTTGCACAGAACAAATTAAAAAATACATTGCTTTGTCAGATGTGAATGAGGCAAATCAAATAGCCACGCGTAATTACGCAGCGCAGGGCCTGTCAGAGATTTACAAAGCAATAGATAGGTCACACATCCAGCAGCGTAAGTTACTAAGTAGGTAAAGTGTATTTGTATAGCGCCTTTCACAATCCAGGATCACAAAGCACTTCACATTTAAAAAAACATACAGATGAAAATAATACACATACAAGTCAGATTTTAAAATGAAGAAACAGAAGAGGGTCCTCATCATGAGCTGTGATTTATTCGAAATTTGCATGTTTCCATTAGACCCTTCCTCATTTGGGCTTTACCGTGCTCAGGCCCACCACTTTCAACTGTGACTCAAGCCCACTTGCTGTGGTCACACGGCACCTAAATCCCAGATCCAATCACATTGATTTTAATTGGGCTTTAGGTTGTGCTTGTGCTTCTGATTAAAAGAGGAAAAGGTCACATTGGTTACCTCACATAATACACTTCGATGAGATGACTTTGCATTGTGGCATTTTTAATAAAGACTGCAGAATTACGTATATATTTGTATCTGTTTTAGCTGGTCGTGTGCAATGAAAATGTTTGGGGAACACTTAAATTGCTGTAACAGCCTCCTCACGGCCTCCTCACTGGTCTCTCCAAACGAGCTGTAAAACATCTGTAGTATATTCAAAAACGCTGCATCTCCAGTCCAGGACTGGCCCTGAAATCTTCTCACTTAGATCTGGTCCCTTGTCTCTGCACTGGATCTATGGCTCAGAGAATAGACTTTGAAGCAGCTCTGCTGGTGTCTTATGGTCTCGCATCAAAGTACTTGAGTATGCTGCTCTATGTGTATGTGTATGCAGGTACAAGCAGCACCAGACTGAGCTGGAAGAAGTGCCCACACAGCGCCCCCTATTGCTGCCATGTCGTGTGCAGGGCTGTGTGTGCTCAGAGTACCAGTATGTCCCCCACATGGGCTCCAGGCCAGTACGCTGCAGCTGCAAACATCTGCCCCAGGACCACGCCGCCTCCTCAGGACACCCCTGTACTCGATGTGAGCCTATTATGATGACGTTCAGCCTTTCTTCAGTCAAAGTATTTTTACAATACTTGTGTTATGTTGTCCCATCAACGTTTCAGTATGTGAATAAGGCTTAAGTTAGTAATGGCCAACCAGTCAGAGACTAAGAGCTATTTTTTTAACTGTTACTGCAAAGAGCCACATCATACAAATGGGCACACATGAACATCATCCCATCGCTTACACACACACACGCACGAATGCACACAGACACACAGACGCACACACACCTCTGCTCAGTCAGATTTATTGTAAATGTCACACGCCAACATGGTGACAGAAATGGACTCCTACAGTACTAAAGGGCCGTTTCCACCGGCTCGCTTTAGCCACTACCCAGTACGTTTTCAGTAACTGCTAGGCCCTGGTTCAACCCGGCCCGAGTTGTTACCAAAAGAATCTGACGTTGGCGAACGTCAATTCTGATCACGAAATGAGTGTTTTCAATCTCTAATGACTTTCAACCCAGCATTCAGTATACAACACAGTGCTGTCCTCTTTTGCTGTTTTGATCTTTCATTTCACGGTTGTCACTTTTAAGCTTCTTAACTTTTCTCTGCACTGTTATGTCCGTGGATATCCATTCCTCCATCCTTAGCGTTAACTCCACAAACACCTCCTGGTTTCTGGTGGCACCATTGAGCTCATACTGGTGTCCTCTCCTCAAAGTGAGGAAGGTGTTGACCGCATCCAGCGGCCAAGGAATAGTTAACGTCTTAATGGGTCGAGGCAACATGTTGTTAGTTATGATTTTCGCAACATGATGCAGCAGCTGAAGAGTGATTGACAGTGCCTCTGACCACCCAAAATTGATATTTGAGGCTTGTCCTTCGAATACGTTTTGTTTTAACATGTGACATAGTAGTTGGACTGGAGTGGCGAGTCAGAACATCCTGAAACCCGTGTTGCAGATTCTGCCTCGTTCTCATCACTTGGTGTGAAGAAAGTTACGTATTGTTCATGTGTGCACATGTTGTGTACAAACTATAGCACTGTGCTTCCTGTTGTTTAAACTCTGCCTTTCAGTGCGTGTGGTTTGTAATGTTGACAGCTTGCTGCTATGACGCCGGTTTCTGGATTTTTGCGTATTTTTTTTCTAAAAGATAGTTGTTCGGGTCGTTCTTTTTCATATCTGTGGTCCTTCATGGTTCCAGCTTCAAACTTGTGAGGGCAGAAGGCAGAGTGGAAGCAACGTTATTAGTTGCACCTGTGAAACAAAAATACAATTCTTGTCCCTTATCAACCAATGTATTTCAAGATGATGCATTGACATGGATAGTACTCTGCTCTCACGGACATTTGTAATTCAAATTCTAAGTCCATCACAAAAATTCAAAACACATGGTGGAGGTACTGTAAATATTATTAGAAAGGTCACATTAGTTGTTGTTTTAATTTGGAGCTACCGTAAAAATTTCACAGGGTGGGTTTAAATAAAGGTCAACTACAAATAAATTGTTATTGCTCAAATGGCAGAACAGTAATATAAAAGTAAATGTAGCCAGGACAATTGCTGTTGCACTTCTCCAGATTATTTTGACTCTGTTTTAAAAGGTTCAAGGATGCGTTGGCTTACATATAGTTAAAATGGTGCATATCTTTCCCCCGGTAAAACAAAACAATCTCCTTATGTGGTCAACATGACATAAGCGCCAGCAGCACAAAGTCTATGGTTCTCCCCAATTTTCCCCGTTTGCTCTGCGCTTACTCAAGTTTGATGTGGAGCTCTTCGCTATTTTTCTTTCCATGCGGTTTACAGCAGATTATGCTGCTTTTGTCACACCCGCCTCATACTCAGAGTAATGGTATCTCCATGAATGAAATGCTCTGTGCTCGTCCTCACTATCATGCTTTATGTTTTCTCTTGTAATAAATACAGTTTATCACGTCGCAGTGGTTCGCATCATTAGAAGAAGGTACATGTAATCCCTTACTTTAGTCGTTACTCAGAAAAAATAATTGGACTACAGTAACGCGTAATGCAGCCTTGCGGAAATTCAACTCTGGAAGACGGACGGCTAAAGCCACCCCTTCAAGGCTGGCCTCGCATCCTCAGCCTATCGCACAGCAAACGCCCATTTCCAACCAACCTATGCTGGTCAAGCCAGCAGCTTAAAAGTGGAGAGACTCCCACTTTACGGCCTTCTCGAAGCCTTGCAAACCACTGCCTCCCCTCCACCTCCTTTTCTCACCCTGCCTCAAGCTGCCTCTTTCCTGCTGCCCGAATGCCACCACCAGTGCCTAAGTCCCGGGGGGATTGTGCGCGCACTCACGCAGGAGCCTCGCTGACTAAACGCCACACCGGGGCCTAGGGCGCCAAACCACCTTTCAATAAAAACATTCCAAATGCATTTTGTCTTCTGAAGTCTCTCCAGATTGAAATGTCTTTTTGTTTAGGGCAGTGAGCGCTGTGACTATAACTGGACTTCACTGCTAGCTCCTGGTGTGGGCTCAGAGATAGTGTTATTTGCGATAATCCACTTTTCTGAGGCTTTTTTGGGGTTAACTGAAAAAAGACTCAAACTAATCCGTTTATGGCAGGCAATGACTTAATGTATGTCCTTGAGTAATTGTCTGTGTTTGCCTGTGTGTTGTAGGCTCATGTCCAGGCTTTCGGAGTCCGTCGGTCTGTGGCTGTGGTCAGCCCTACTCTGCTCATCGCACACTGGTCAGTATTTACTAGACATAACACCTAAGGTGGAACCACAGGTTCCATTTTACGCTACAATCCTCGGCTCATAGGTCTGTGATTGGTGGTGATAAATTAACCGATTCAACCCAATGCTTTTCATTTGATAAACTGTCTGAAACGTTGAAGTTGTTTAAAGTGAAGACTGGAGAGGAGATGTCCCAGGACCAGTCTCTCCAGTGTCTTTATGCAGTGGGATGTCAAAGCCACAGGCCTGAAGTCGCTGAGCCCTTTAGCATGTGGTGTCTTGGGCACAGTTTACCACCCATGAGGCCTTCCAGAGCTGTGGTACTGGCCTCAGCCTGAGGCTCAGGTTGAAGATGTGCTCCAATTGCTTTTCCAATTTTAGCTTGTGGCATATAGTATGCTCTTTGCAAGGTATTGTCAAAAAATTACGTACGTGACTCAGAATCTGATACAGAGATAAGACCGAGATTCAGAGTTTCTCTTGGGTACGTACAAATCCTACGAATGCACAGGAGCATTCGTACGCACAATGGGCCTCATTCATGAACCGTACTTAAGAAGAAATTTGTGCGTAAATCCTACTTACAAAGATTTTACGAAGATTGTGGTATTCATGAAAGTTTCTCGTAACCAGAATTTCTCTTGGGTGACTTTATTCTCATAATATTTCGACTTTTAAGTCAACATTTTATAACTTTAATCTCAGTCTGGCAAAAGAAGAAATAAGGGTGACTCTTTTGCTCCGTGTAACTCTTTGCTTTAGGCATGTTGCTGTTTCCTCTGGCGTCTGCACACGGCCCTGCAGCATGGATCTATTATGATAACAAGCCCCGGCGATCCAAGATGGCGCCCTATTCAAATTAATGGTTGTGCTTGTCACTCCCGTATTCGTCCCGAAAACCGGATTCGTCCGGAAGTTCAGTTTGATCCAATGAGCCTACGCAGCAGTAGATTACGTCACGGAATCTGGACGAATACGGGAGTGACAGTCCCCATGCCACTGAGCACTGTCACTCCCGTATTCGTCCCGGAAACCAGATTCGTCCGGAAGTTCCGTTTGCGCATGTCAGAAAGTTTAATATGTCTTTAAGTGGTGACTGGTTAAGTTTAGGCGTCTGATTAAGATGGTTAAGTTTAGGGTTAAGGCTGGGCTGGGGTTATTTTATGGGAATGGCTGGTTAAGTTTAGGCATGAATAGGTAGTTTTTTATATTTACTTCCGCTTCCGTCCAGATTCCGTGACGTAATCTACTGCTGCGTATGCTCATTGGATCAAACTGAACTTCCGGACGAATCCGGTTTCCGGGACGAATACGGGAGTGACAGGGCTGAAAGATTAGCGGAAGTCGCCTGGAACTCGCAAAGATCTATGGGAAACTCGCAAAGATCTATGGGAAACTCGCCTGTATTTGGGCATCGTCTGGTCCTCCCGGTTCTGCACAGTGGATGATCTCCCATAATGCGTTGCGCCAAACACGTGTGTGGGTCTCACACCGGGTCTCACGCACGTGCACAGAGGGGCTCGGCTGCGCTCTGACCAATCAGAGCAGTTCATCAGAGCGGGAGTTAGAGCGAGAGCCAGACGAGCAGAGTTTGTGGCACTAAAGTGTGGATTTAAACAAAACCGAAGGATTTAAGAAGAAAAAAAGTTCAGGATGACAAGGGACACTAAAATCCCCACAAAATCCGATCTTTATTAAAGCTGTAGGTTCTCTGTCAGCTGAGGTTGAGCTGTTTTAATATGCATTGAGTTCTATGGGGGAAATTTCTGGGTAGCCCACGTGAATTTAGTCTGGTCTAGTCTGCAGTACCGCAAGAATCCCCCGAGCACATGAGTTATTCAGCTACAAGCTAGTAATATCCTGTCCAGTTATTATAATAGATCCAATGTGTTTTTTTTTTACTGCAAATGGCAAATAAAATGAATCTGAATCTGAATCTGAATCTGTTGAGATGGGAAAGCTTGTCCTGGGCAGGATGGTGTTGAAAGCAGAGCTGAAGTCCACGAACAGGTCCCTGGGGTAGGTCCCCGGGGTGTCCAAGCCATCTTGTTTTATTTGCGACCTGATACCTATGGAAACATTACATTAACTCAACTTCTTGCAAGCTGTACAACCATAGACTGTCTATTGGCCCTGACAAGCCGTGGCGCTGCCATCTTGGACCGGTTGCCCACTCTTCTCAGTGTAATCTGTTTAACAGGCGCAGTTACGTGTAAGCGCATTTAATCAATCATAACTCACTGAATAGTTTACTTCACTGCTAATAAAATATATAACTGAAAGATTACCGCTAGTTTTCTGTCCAAATGTAGTCCGAGGCGGTCTCGATCCCGTGGGTCACTCCAGCGAGGATACGATGTAAGCTAACGCTATGTTCACCCTGAGCTTGATTTCTTCTTTGATAATTTTTTTGCTTTAGTTTTCTCTCTTCTCTTTCTCACTGTTTAGACCTTTGGGCAGTTTTGCTGTGTATGCAGTTACAGCCAGAGGAGTTGTAACCACTTTCTGCTAACATGCAGTTGTGTTTACCTGCGCTGTAGACGCTAGAGGAGACAGTCTGGGAGTTATGAAGTTTTGTCACCCGTGGCATGTGGGCATAGGCACATTGGAGAGCCTACAGAGAGACAGAAGAGTAAAATGTCAAAGGATGGACAAGGTAACCACATGTACAACTGAAAGTACAGAGATGGACATCAAAAAGTATTGTTGTCCAGTGTTTTAAGAGTCAAATGTTTGTGTAAAGTTTGGTTTAAGCACTGGTTTAAATGTTCCTGTTAACAACACTATGCAGTAGGGTTGCCAGGTAGGGTGTTTTTTTTTTTTTTTTAGAAGGCCCCACCTTCTGAAATCCTACTGCTATGGAGGAGGCCCAGACGCATGTGTGAAGTGCAGCGAACTACATGGATCTGGCGAGAGTCAGGCTATTAGTAGCCTATCTCACCAGAGTTTTAAAAAATGTCCCCTCTCTGTCCTCCGTAAACCCAGGGAAGACAACTCTGGTGGAGCATGTCAATAGGCTAAAAGATGTCAGATTTGACAGAGGTCATAGAGGGTTCCCCAAAACCTGGTGGAAAAGCTAAAGAAAAAGATAGAAGAAATGCAGTGGCATCAACTTTACACCACCGTTGAATTCTCCCAATGAAGTTCAAACCCAAGAAATGCAATGATAGAAAACCCATTGGTATTGGTCCATAAGGGGCAGATGTCCAAATGTCAATAAATGTTTTCATAGGAATTTGAAAGAAAAATAAGGTTAAGCTGCCTATGGCTGGTTGCTGAGAGGGCGACATCAAACAACCCTGGCATGCTCAAAGGTACACCAACGAGATTACACACGGATGTAACTTTTGTAAATGCACTTTTGACATTTTTAGCTAATGGTTTTTGTGAAGCGTTCCCGCAACAGTGATTGTGTTGATTATGTGTAAACATATGAGGTTGTCTGTGATTGTAATTTGATTGTGATGTGATTATGTGTGATTACACAGAATCACAGTCCAGCATGTTGGACTGACTCCAGGAAGAATAGCTGTACTTGTTACTAAATAAATACGAATACAAATTATGTGTGAATGTGTGCAGTTGTGTCTGTTTGTAATGTGATAGTGTGTTGCAGGTGGAGAGCAGAGAGGAGAGGCAGGCCCGTGGAGCTGCTTTGGGATGGGACGTCCCATACGCTGCCATGGGGGGGATAACCGGCTACAGCTCTCTGATGGACGGGTACCTCAGGGTGGCTCCCTGACCATACCCGCTCTCCACACCTGTCAGTGTTGAGAGTGGGACCTGTCAGTCATCCACACGTCAGAACACAACCAGATCTATCTGATCTCTTCTCTTTACTCTCTGCTCCCCTCCTCTATACTCTCTCCTCATCTCCAAATCACCTCTCTACTCTCTTCTCTCCTCTCCTCTATACTCTCTTCTTGTCTCCTACTCTCCTCTATTAGCTCTTCTCTCCTCTCCTCTATACTTTCTCCTTGTCTCCTCTACTTTCTCAGTCTCCTCTTCTCCATACTCTCTTTTTGTCTCCTCCTTTCCTGTATACTCTTCTCCTTTCCTCCCCTCTGTACTTTCTCCTACTCTCCTCTCTACTCTCGTCTCCTCCTCTATACTTGTCTCTTCTAGACTCCTTGTCTTCTCCACTCTCTCCTCTACTACTACTCTTTCCTCATCTCAACTCCTCGTCTCCTCTATTATATACTCTCTCCTTGTCTCTCCTCCCCTGGGTGCTCTCTCTACCACCATCCATCCATCCATTTTCAGAAATGGATTAAGGGGTTGAAAATGGATGGATGGATGCTCTCTCTACCAGATGTATTTCAATTAGATGCCGTTTAGGCAAATGGCCAAAAGATGGCAGCATTTCTACTGTTTTTAATGTTTCAACATCGTTTCAAATAAAGGCAAGGTGATTCAAACTGAGTCAAAATTTTCCATCTTTGAAAATGTAAACACCTACGCAGAATTGGCCATTATTCACTCATTGTTAGTGGTTGTGTGAAGTTATTTCTTGTAAAATAAAGCTGTCTTGTTTATTCAAATGATAATTATTATTAGCAGATCATTACTGAGGATATTATGCAATCATCACTAAACTGATATTGATTATAATCATTTAACTACTTTATTTTTACATATTATACATATGTATTAATATATTATATAATATAATATATATATATATATTAATGTCATTTCTATCTTATTGTATTACATTGATAGATATATAGATAGATATTTTATTGATCTCCCGTAGGAAAAATTCAGGTGTTCAGTTACAGCAAAAATACATGCACCCGCACAAACAAAACAAATAAATTGATAATTGATAATTCTAGTAATAAAAGCTTCTGGCGATTGGCTCTGGCAGCTGGAAAAGAAAACATGCATTAGTGGGTTGGTTGTTTGTCAGTGTTAAAGTGTCTGGTGTGCGTTGGGCTGCTAAGTGAAATGCACAAGCTAGCTTAGCTTATGTGCTGGTTGGACTACAAATTCAAGCACATTGACTAATATCTTAAAAGCTTGGATTAAGTAAACCATGAATAATATGCAGTGAAAAACATGTTCCGCAGAAGGATACGATGTTCAATGCTGCAGTCTGAAGACTGGCGGAGGATGAGATTTTAACAGTGGTGATGTCAGAAGCTAAGCCTCACCCGTAATGATTATAATAATAATGGCTTTTATATAGCACTTTTCAGGACACGCTTCTCATGTCATTATTCTTTCACTCCATCCACAGTGGTGATAAACCACTGTAGCCACAGCTGCCTTGGGGCACACTGACAGAAGCGAGGCCTTGGCCATCCGAAAACTCAGATCAATTATTATTACCCCACATATACAACTGGGTCTGCCCCCAGTCTCTGCATTTACATTGGTTGAATCCCATTCGACCAATCAGCAAGCAGGTAGGTGTCACTGACGTCAAGAGTTTGTGGCAAAATTGCTGGTTGTAGTTTGGCAATGGCGGAGAATGCGATAGTAAATGTCAAGAAATTGAAGCCGGAGCAAGAGGAATGTTTAGCAGTTTTTATTACCGCATAGATTTTGTGGCTCTACTCCCCACGAGCTCCGTTAATGGCAAAGGAGATGGCAAAGATAAATGCGAAATGCTAGCAACAATCTTGTTTCAATATGCAAAAGGAGTTAACCCAGACATGGACAAAACTACGGTCTAGTTTTTAATACACTTTAGTACACTGAAAGTGTACTTTTTCTGGAATTTTCTGCGCTGCTGTGGGAGCTTTCGCGTTGTGGCGGAGCCAGAGGGGTAGCCAGGGTGGCCACTGCCACCTCTAAAAATATCCTTGCCACCCCCAGTGCCCCCCTCGGAAGACGGCAATGTAATAATGTTAATCTTGAGAATCTTCCGCACTTTTTCCGGCAAAAGCTAAAAATTCCCACGGTTTCCCCCGTCTGTGAACGCACCTTGACTCCGTGTGGAGCCGGTGCTGTATGCTAATGTTTTGGGTTGTTGGACTCACATGTGCCCAAGTCGTGATGAAAACAAAGCGGTAAGTTAGCGATGCAGAGCCAACCGTTTACATTTGACACAAAGTATAGACACACGTACTGCAGCGCATTACTTGTTCAGTTTGTAGAACTTTTAGTGTGTGTATGTGTGTGTGCGTGTGCGTGTGCGTGCCTGTATGCGCGCCTGTGTGCGTGTGTCAGCGTGCCATTGTGTCTGCGTGTGTGTGCGTGCCTGTGTGTGCCAGTGTGGGTCTGCGTGCCTGTGCGCGTGTGTGCGTGCCTGTGTGTGTGCGGGGTGCATGCGTGTTTATTTTCCATTATTAATTGCCCATCGTATCATCACCCTCTTCCCTTTAGTGTAAACATTAAAAGAAAAAGTTAGGAAAAGTCCTGTAGATCAGCCTGAAGGTCAGACTCTGAGGCAGTATGTTTTAAGATGATGAGGAATTTGTTGTGTTGTATTAAAATATAGCTTATATAATTGAGTTTCAGAGAATGAGAGGGTGTCGCAGACAGGTGCAGGATTGTCTATTGGCAGAATGCGTTTTTTCACACACAAAAAAAGAAACAAAATAGCTAAGATTATGGATGATGTGCAGTCGCTTGACCCCAAAACGGGGAACGTTTGCAAAGTGTTTCATGAGCTTTTTTTTGAGGCTTGCAAAGATCTTTTTAATACCTGTCAGTACTGCGTCTTGTGAAATAAGTTTCTCTGTCCTAAAACTTATTAAAAACCATCTCAGAACTACCATGGCAGATGATTGAGTCATCTTGGTATCCTCAGTGTAGGGTAAAGGAGGGCTCAGGGCTGAATATGGATGAGTTTGTCAACATCTTTGCTGCTTTACACCAGAACCGCAGGAATTTGCTAAATTTGTTAAAAGAAAAAATGTAATGCAATGTTTGAATGATGTTATTTTGCACCACTGATGACTGCTGTCGTTGTGTCCTTGGGCAAGACACTTAACCCCACTTTGCCATAAGCCCCGCTGAAAGATCAAGGCTATGCTCACACTCAGAGAGCAGCCGTCCTCCTGTGGACTCACCACCTGCAGAGGGTCAGTGAGGGGCTGGTGCTATGAGACTTGGGTGGCATCTCTGACTGTCACCCCCCTGACCCAGAAATGGATTAAAGGGTAGAAAATGGATGGATGGATGGATGGAGTTTCCAAGTGTGCTCTCAGTTCACTTTATATTAAAAATAATGACAAGATTAAGATTAAAATGTATCGTTTAGCCAGTTTTTGTGCGAAATAAAATTTCGGAATAGTATAAATGTGGACCCCTCAAAAAAACCCTTGCCACCCCCTGGCCACCCTCTGTTTAAAAGTCTGGCTCCGCCACTGCTTTCGCGTCACATGCACGTCATCGCCCCTTCTGGTAGCTGTGTGTTCGCGGCTCCTGTTGTATATGAGGGCATTCGCGTGTTGTGATCGGTCACTTTTGACTTGCCCTCAACAACGTGCGCGCATGATAAACAAAGAAAGGTAGATGCGTAATGGAGGATTTTCTACAACAATTACACAGTTAAGTATTCAATGCTGAAGTCAGAGGTAAAGCTGTGCTTAGTTTGCGGGGAGCTGACCCCCGTGTTTCAGGAGAACCATGTGGGTCTGCACCTAATTCATCCATGGTCTGCACCAGAAGAAGCAGAGAAATACAGAAACCTGAATGATGGTGAAGTTGCGTGGAGCGCAGTAGCTACACTGCAAAAGTAACAAGACTTTCACCAAGCGTTCGCCTCCAGGCTGACCCTGATCTACCATATGGGCAACCTGGGCACGTGCCCAGGGGCCCTCGGGCATAGAAGGGCCCTCTGCCGGCAGAAATAATAATGGTTGTCTACAAGAAATGGACTCTCGTGATTGTCTCCCTTATATGTCAGTTTGTTGACTTGACAGGTAATGATTGGGAGCGGGTGGCAATGCATTGTGTAGATTGGCTAATGATAATGGTGGGTGGGGCTTAGCAGGTGGTTTCCATATATTGTGTATGTAGTGGAAAGTGGGGGAAAATGGACCTCAGCAGCATCAACAAAAAGCCCAGCGGACATGCAAAGCGCAAGAAGAAAAAAGAAAAGGAAGCGACAGCTATAAAAAATGTTATGCCAATTAACAGCTTTTTCAAAAAAGCTAGAATTGAAGAGGAGGGTTTCGAGCTAGCCAGCAGCAATGTTAGCTTGGAAGCGCCTTCTACCAGTGATGCCCAGCCTGAGCTAACGGCGGCAACTATCCTTACCGGAGAAAATGAAGCGGCATCTATGAATGAAGAGCAAACGGAACAAGGTAATTCGTCAATATCTGAAGACCCTGCACTATGGGGATCGCTTACAGAAAGCACCCGCAATGACATTTTATTTAAAGGAATCTCAGCTTTTCAAAATCGGGCGGCTAAATATCCGGCTTCACGGAGGGGGAACGACGCAGAGGGAAAGACGCGCTCCCTTACTAATGATGCTCTGACCCGGCGCATCTACAATGGGGAAGCTATTCCACGAGAATGGATTATATATTCACCATCAACGGGAGATATTTTTTGCTTTCCTTGTAAAGTGTTTTCACAAAGCAACAGTGCATTTATTGCGGGGTTTAGCGACTGGAAACACCCGGAGCGAATAACGGAGCATGAAATGAGTGGGGAGCACAGAAGATGCATGCTTTCACTTGCACATCGCAGCAAACATCTGGGCACTGTTGATGCTTCTCTTGGGAGACAGATCGAAGCAGAAGGTCAGTACTGGAAGGATGTTTTGAGGCGTGTAGTTGC